TATAAAAAAAAATTAAGAAACAGTCCTGATTAATAAGGCTCGGATTATATGCAAAATGCATATTTGTTATTATTTGTTATTAAGAGGTATATCAACAAAATTGTGAGTTTTCTATGCATATCTAATGTTTTTCGATTAAAATAAGCCAATTAAAAATGCATATTTTGACAACTTCGTGCATATTTTAGGAAATTTTCTTTAAATCACAAATTTCCGATTAAAAATTTTAGTTCAGATTAAAAATTGGACAGTTTAAAAAAATGATGGTATTAAAAATATGTTAAAGAGAAAACCACCGATAATTCGTAAGCCGGACTCAAAGAATTAGTATCCTGCTGAAACGCAAACGGTTTTTTTTAAATCATTTACTTTCAGAAAATAATAATTAATACCAATAAATTAAAGTAATATAAAAAATGTGATCGTATTTTAAGAACAAAAATTTGTTGTCTTGAGTTATGCGATATTTTCTGTCAAAATTGCAATTTATGTAAAAAAAAAATTTGAAAAAATTTAATATAAAGTAGATAGTTGTAATCTTTACATTATAACCTCCATTAGAAAAATAGTTTTTTAGTGGGTTGCCATTAAAAAAAATATATTTTTGTAAAACTCAAAAAAAAATCGAAAAATTTTTTCACATTTTTGTCCTGCTTTCTTATTCATCAATTAGTTTTTCAAGGAAAATTAATAGTTTAAGCAAAAAACGTGGTTCCATACTTTTTATTCACCTGTAATCCTTCCATTTGGATAAGCAGTAGCCTGCAAATGAATTTTAGCCAAATTGTTTAAAGTGATGTGATCTGAAAAGTACAGATTTCTTAAAAAGGCTTAATGGCTTGTTTGAGGCAAAACCAATTTATTTATTCTCTTTCGTTCATCGTGTGTAGTTCAAAATACCGAAAATACAAAGTTTATTGTACTGAAGGATAAAAATTTATCCCAACTTTGTTTTTTTTATGCATATTTGGCATATACTGGAGCATATTTCTTAATATGTTGTGCATATTTTTGTGAAAATACGTGCATATACAGGGTGTTCCATTTTTATTGTTACAAATTTAACCAGGTGAATATTCAATTTTAAGATAAAAGTTTCCTATAAACATATATCGAAAAATTGTGTATAAAGGAGCCACATCTCCTGAAAGGGGTGCATCTTTGAATTGATTTTTTCCAATATTTCAGAAACCATCGTGGATAAAATTACAAAATTTGGTACAACTGACAACCTTTATACACCCAAATGAATTCAAAGATAAAATGTCGAAATTTTTACTCAGGGGCGTCCTAAACTGGGGGGTTTAGCGGTTGGTTTTTGCCACTTTCAGCACAAGATTCTAAATTTCATAGTTTTTCACAAAAAAGAGGTCTCTTGCGTTTTTTCGATAAAACTTACCGTTTTTGAATAAAATCAGTTTACAATTTGTTTTACAGTCCATAAAAATGATAAAAATAAAAAATGAAATTTGTTTCACCGTTTAAGAGGCCCGTGATTAAAACTTTCGACAACTGATCTTTATGAAAAAAAAAAAAACAAAAAATTTTTTTTTGGAATTCATTTAAATTTAAATAATGCAAAATTGTAAAAAAGCTGAAAAAAAATGTTTTTCTCATTTTCACAAAGAGTAGACAATGTTCAGAAACAATATGTACAATTGTTCCTTTAATTCTTTTGTAAAACTTTGATCAATCGGTCCGAGAAAACGGTGTGATGAATCGATTTAAAAATTTAAAGGAATATGAGGGGTACATTAAGCTATAAAAAAACCTAAAAATATTAGTCTCCCCATCCATATTAGTGAATATTCTGTAGATTTACTAAAACAACGCAAAAAGTTACTTTTTTCTCTTTTCTTTAAATCCATGTTGAGGGTGAAAAAAAAATATTTTCCAAAAAATCATAAAAGGATCTTATAAGACATTTATTCCAGTTTTTGACACTACCCTTATATTCTCTGTGTAGTCATTGGTTGCTCAGATATCGGTGATCAAAGACAAAAGGATCTTTTTTCATTTAAAGTCAAATATCTCAGCGACAAATTGACGTAAAAAAAATATAAAAAAAGCATATTAAAGATGAACGAACATGCTATCCGGCCTATGCATTGACTTAACTAAAAAAACATTCCCGACGTCCGTGGACCAAAAACAAAAACAAGAACATTTAGAATTTTTTCCTCAAGATATTACTTAGGATTACGTGGTAACCGTACCACGGAAAAATTTTTACCAAAAAATCTCAAAACTAGAAACTTAAAGCTTCAAAACAGTTTTTTTTAATCTAAATACACCTATTTTTCAAAAATCACCAAAAAATTTAAGAAAAATTTTTGTTCCTGTAATTTTTTTATGTTATTACAGGAAAACTGTGAAGAGTTCGAGGCGATGGTATCAGCTCAATGTGACGCATTAATCGAAGCCATTCACCACAGACGCGCTCAACTACTCGAATGCATTCGCCAAGATAAGGAGTTAAGGGTTAGAGCTTTAAAGGAACAAGTCACTACCTGCACTAGTAGATTACAGCAAACTACAGCTTTACTTCAATTCTGCATCGAAGCTCTAAAGGAAACAGATAGCTCAGCTTTTCTCCAGGTGATGATAATAAACACTATTTCTAATTTTACAAAACGTGATCCAATCAAATGTTGTGATTGGATTTATAGTTACATAGTGTGTAACACTCGCTACGCTCGTTCGGAAAATGCACAAAAAAATTTACCCGAGCACTTTTTTTAGGTCGGTTCGATGTTAATCAGCCGTGTTGCAAATACCGACCATTCCTGGCACAAAGAATGGACAGCTCCACGCGTTTCACCCCATTTCGATCTCACTTTAGACGATAAGTCCGTCCTAAGAGCGATTGATCAGCTCAATTTTATTCAAATGAAACGTAAGTATAGAATTTTCAAAAGAAATCCTCTTAGTCTTACAGCTTCGGTTTTATCTTTTTGCGATCTGGCAATTAGTTAATTAATTGGGTTTTTGCGAATTGTGGCGCTTTTTATATTTACTTTTTTTCCTTTCGGAACCGATTTTTTAACAACTTCATTTGGTCAGAAATTTACGACAACATAATTTCTAATTAACCTTCCTGTTACAAATGATGAATTTGCATTATTTGCTCAGCGTACATTGATGGAGAAGAAAGAATGCCTGCAGGTAAATGCATGAAAAACACTTATTTACTTTTTCGTAATTAAACTGGATTGAGCTTTTAATTTATTTTGTATTTTCATTGAAATACAACCTTATAAATATTGCAGAGTTATGTGTAATAAACATTCTATTTGCCTTGCATTTTATTTACTGTTTAATAGAATGAGGCTTGTTTTAGTTCATCTGAGTAGTAATTGAAAATATACAGGATGTCCCAGCGAGTTGAAAAAGTCCATTAGTGATTTTTAAATGGTAAAATTAAAAAAATATATATAAAGGACATTGATATACAGGTTGATTCAGCTTAAATAACCCACCTGACCCCTCCTGGCAGACAACACATAAGACATTATGCACTTATTCCTTGATTCAAATTAAATTTTCAAAATATCGAGAATCAAAGAACGATAATTTCTTTGTGTATTATAGGTTGTCTGCCAAGAGGGGTCTAATGGGTCATTTAAGCTGAATCACCCTGTATACTAATCTAGTCCATCCTCTAAAATTATTTTCAACTTTACAGCGTGTCTCAAAAATAAGCTACAAAACAAACTTGTGTCTTTTTTTAATGAAACACCAGCGTTTTTGAATGTAGATTTTGATGACAGTGTTTTTAAGCTAAACTTTTATTGGTCAATTTTGCTTAGTTTTAAAAATAAGACGTTTTTTTACGAAAACATACATTTTTTAAAAATGTATTACACAAAAACTAAGACCTCTAGAAATATTTTTTTTATTACCGCAAAGAAGAAGGTACAAGCTATAAAGTTGTAACATTTTTTTTAGTGTGTTGCGATTGCAAAGATAAAAAATGAAGGCGTTCGTTAAAAGTTCAATAACTTAATGGAACACCCTATTTATTGTTTTTGCATTTAAAAGATTATTAAATTGTCTTTCTAAAATTATTTACTTTTAGGTGTTTATAATCAATAACTAAAAAGATATTTAACGTTAAACATTAAAAAAATAATAACTATTGTTTCAGTAGCCAAAAAGTGCACAGGTGCACAAGAGATGGAAGAAATATCACTTAATAATCACATTTGTGTTAAACTGAATCCATTATTCTTTAATTTTACAATAAAATAATTCGAATTTTAGTATTTATAACGACTTTAGATATTGATAGGCATTGTTGCTACAATTAATATTGAATGTTAAATATTTTTTCATTTATCAATTCTAGACATTAAAAGTTAATTTTTTTAGAT